TTTCTAAAAAAAAAAAAAAAAAAATCCATAACGATATTACAGCTTTCATTGATTTATTTCAAATTTGTAACATTGTCTAGCCTGTAAGGTATAAAAAAAAGAATAATTACACTCCTAGAAGTTGGTGTTCTGAATGTGACCGGACTTCTCCTTTAAAAAGCTGAACTGATGACGGAGCTGGCCTGCTGCAAATTTATTTCCCTAAACCAAAATTGTCGTAATGAGGCTATAAATCGAACCAAATTCGACATGTTTGCATTCCAAAGAAATAACCTTTCTCCTAATGCCTTAAAGAGGAACTTTACCTCCTCTCTAACGGTTGCTAATTGTATTTTTAGCCCTCAGAAACCTTAGGTTTTGTTTATTGATGGAAGGAATCCTCAGAGTTGTTCAAAACAGAACTAGCCATCTAAAGGAAGCTCTGGACATGCACTATGTTTCGTAATCAAGCCCAAAATGTCAGCCTGCTCTCAGTGGAACCACTGCTGTCAGAAATCAGCCCTGAGGTATTGACAAGTATGCAGAGACAACGTGTAGTTGCGACATGTCAGAGCAAGACAGGAATTACAAGGAAGGAGTTTTCCTCTTCCTTGTATTTAACTTTTTACTCTTCTGTTCATCTTGGAGACATGGTGTCCTCTTTGAAAGGGTTACAAATGTGTAACAGCAACATATGACATCAGTTTGGTGTTTCCACAACCAGAAAAGAAGATCAGACACATCAATCAGAGACGCAAAGCTGTGCTTAGGAAATCATAAAGAAGAGAGAAATGTCAGTGAACTTGCTGGACTGAGTGTTCGGTGGATGCAAACAATCGATCTTTAAGCATTTAGAAAAAGAAAATTTAAAAAAGAAGGTCTGGCAGGAACTTTTCTATAATCAAAATTGATTCTGTATAAGATCTTCCACCACAAAGGTCATAATCATCAATTACTGCAGAATCAAGTCAGCAGTTAGATTGTTTGATGTTAAAGTCTGCATGCGTTTGATTTAAAGATATGAACCAGAGACTATAAGCTGCTGAGCTGGATGGTTGGAAATATGTCGTCACAAAGACAAATAGGTAAAAGGTTTGGGCTAAAGTCAGTTATTTTCCATGTGCTAATCACACCTTGAGCTTGGTGGCATGGGGGTGGAGTTGTTACGGTTTGGACGTCTCTGCCTTAGGGATCAGGTATGAATCAGCATCATAAGGCTGAAGTTCTCCAGAGTAAAGTGGGAAAGCATTTTCATAGATATGGGAAAACAACATACTTTTTATAATTGAATTATTTTTCCACTGAATTGCCTAATATACACCTAAAATTGACAATAGAACAAATAATTCTGTGTTTTTTTATTTCATGTTCCTTATGATCACAGAAAACTAGTTTTTTTGCCAGGGGTGTGTACCGCTTTGAGAGCCACTGTGTTTGCATAACGTCAAACAAATCCACATTTCATCAATGCAAACATAAAGTATGGTGGCTGAGGGATGCAAATACAGTTTAAATACAGGATTTCACAGCAAACAACAGTCAGACTAACACACAAACTAATCAAAGGAAAATGCTGAAAGTAGTTAAAAACATTGGTTAGTTAGAGAAAGCTTCAAACTAGCGACGCATAATGGAAGTCCTCCAGACCACTAGGGGGAGATGATCATCAAACTATTATGAATTCATATCTATGAGCCAGAACCTTACCAAAAACTTATTTAAACTCCAAGGCCCAATCAGAAATCAACCCCTTAACACTAAGCCTAAGCAAAAACACTTAGGCTACGTTCACACTGCAGGCCTTGATGCTCAATTCCGATTTTTTTGTGAAATCCAATTTTTTTTTTGCGTTGCTGTTCATATTTCCAAATATATGCGACTTGTATGTGATCTCCTGTGTGAACTGCAGTCATACAACGCAAGTGTCCCGCATGCGCAGCAGAGGACGCAATGACGTCACAGGCTAGCGTGCTCTGTGTTTACGGAAGCAAACATGGATGGTAGTGCCGGCGCGCATCTAGCTGTTTTCCAACCAAAAAAACTCAATCTTTTCAATATGGTTAAACATAAATACTGCTCTCTGCATCATCATCTGGCATGGTTGTTGTTTTTCTTGCCGCAGAAGTTTGTCGCAGTGAGCTTGTCGCAGGTATGACTGTCGCCCTCTAGTGGTCTGGAATGCTTCTATTATGCAGCACGACTTTGCAGCTTTTTTTTATCTTGCAGTTTCTTTTTGCTACATGACACATTTTTTCCTTTGTGTGTGTTTTATATGTTAGAACCTTTTTGTATTTGGGTTTTATAATGCAGAATGTTTTCACTTTACTGTTCTCTATTTTATTTGCCTTCAGCTGTTGTCCTTTGCATTTTTTTTGCATGCGTGTTTTTAGGTTGGTGTTTTAGTCCCATTTTATGGGTTTGCTAGACTTTGAGTATGCAGGGTCATTTGAATTTGCTATGAAATGATGTATGTTCTCCACGTTTTACCCCTCCGACACTCAAAGATGCTGAGGTGACTACAAGTCATACTTTTACATGTCTAAGAAGAAAGGGCTTCACTGCAGAGGTGTTTCCTGTGGTGATGTGTTCAGGGTGTAGAGCAGGGGTGTCAAAGTCAAATGGACGGAGGGCCAAATAAAAAATTTAGCTACAAACCGAGGGCCGGACTGATCGAATGTTCATTAAAAATTTTTTAAATGACGCATATAGTCTAGTGAACCTAATTGAACCTACTGAAAACCTAACAAATATATTCCAAAATGATCAGATAAATAAAGCAATATTTTCTTATGGCTCTGTCAGTAATCTTTAATTTTCAACAGACACAAAAGACAAATTTCCTTTATATAAAAATCCCCATAACATGAACATTAAATGAAAGAAAAGTGGGCTAAAT